GTTTTTGATTAGTATCCTTCTTATCAATAAAAATTTACAGTATTTTCTTTTATCAAGTATATTTATTATTGAAAATACATCTTTGTTTGACAATTTTTATTCTTGGGGCAAATAAATGAAATGAATGTGTACTGTTGTGGTCAAATGACAACGGTAAAGCGTGTTGATTGGCTGGTTTGAAAATCATATGACATACATACATATTATATACCTCAAGTTTTTTTTTCGAAGTTTATCCTAGAAATTGTCATCTACCAACAACTACCTTGTCTTCGATATAAGCTTAGAAAGTCTGCTGAAAGCAGGAAAAAAAACTTGTCGTCTACTAACCAACCGAGGATTACACACCAATTTGAAAGAGTGTATTATCTAATATCAGACCACGAAACATCGTAATCTAATCTATACGAAGCACACCTGTTGAAGAGATGATGTTGCAAGTGTTTTATACTCCAGAAGGCACAAGACCTAAAGTTTTATTATATACCCATTCACCAAGACATCTTAATGTTAAAGCATCGTAGTCTATCCTTAATTTGTTGGCAAACATTTCAGGTCGTTTGACCAAGGTCGGTAGATCTCGGATACCAAATATACAATAAGCTCTATATCTCCTCCCGTAGCATTCTGATGGTGTCCAAGATACGTATACAGCAAGGAATGGTTTCATTTCATCACCAACTACAAAACAGAGAAAAACACATTATAAAGCATTGAAAAATTACTGTGCTCCTATCGGGTTTTGGGGGCAGGGCGAAAATGGCAGGTGTCTCTTCGAGGCGAGATCCAATGGCCGAATCCCAATGGTTGACTCCCTAAATACGCCCCCATGAACACTTCTAAACTTCTGCATTACGTTTAATATGGTGTGACGTTGAAGAAGACAATATAGCTTTCAGAAGTATTTCTATCATAAGAAAGTAAGTATTTCATAATGAAAAGTGGTATCACATTATATAATGTTCTTTGCGTGATATATGACGTAATAAATCCTCCTTAAATAGTGCTTAAACGTCTTTAAATGTGGATTACCACGTAATACGTTATGTTTATGACCAGTCCAGTATGGAGTAAATTCATCAACACAATTCCAAAGTAACAGTACTGAATGTTAACTAAGCAACGAATGTCGAGTGAATACGTACCTGAATTACTTCCAGGAGCTTGTAACTGTAAATTATTGTTTAAAGTTGCCCAGTAATATTCGTCTGGGGAATACACGTCACGGCACCATTTCAGTAGGTCACGTGCTTTCTTATTATTTATAACGTAATCCACAAATTGGCGAGAAAATATACCATACGCACTACCTTTATAAACAGTAACATTGTGGGGTGGGGGAGGGTTTTTCTTGCCAGTATCACTACTCAATCGGAGACGACCCGGGTGTCCGGAATGTGGTACAACAATGAATTTGATTTTGTAGCGATTTTGATATACTTTGTCTATGACCCCAGCGATATTATTTAAGTGCTTGAAATTTTTCAAAATAGCGACGATTTCTGCGTTAGTTTTTAGTGGGAATTGTTGCCCTGGGATGTTGAGTAGATATTTCCAGGGTTTGTCCTGGTTTAAATGATCCTTCATACAGTTAAGATCAGCCTGAAGACGAGAGAAGCCCGCATACGTCACATTTTCAGTTTTGGATACTATAAATACATTCTCGAAACAATCGGCTAAATTCTGAACTGACTCGTGATAGCTGGGAGGGGAAAATCCATCCACATGGACACAATAATAGTTCTGTGGTCTGTATATAGCTCTGAGTAAAAATTCCGATTGGATGAAATCTGTATGGAATAAAATATTATAAGCGATGGGAAAGTTGTGTTCTTCTTCACTTATTGAATAGTCATCATATCCGTAAACTTTTCGAAATTCTGAACAATTCAAATTTTGAATTGATGGCATATACCGTACTTTCGCTTTTACTGCCCTTATAGTTTCGTTCTTGTTTCCATGAATAAAAGCAGAACAGTTCCAGTCGGTTACTCGGAACGAGTGATTTACAGAGGTCCTGGCTTGAGAATGTATTCCAGCTAGGCCGATATCTAATACGGTCCATGATTTTATCTTCAAGCTTCTAAAATCAACAAATGAATAAATTGCGAACCCAATAAACCCAAGGGTAATAAATATCGTCCGAAGAAAGAACTTTTTAATCCCAGATAACATGTTGTCTTTTTCCAATTCCTACTATCAGATTTGAATAATTGTTTGGTAGAGTTGAACAAAGTTTAATATTCTCCGTTTTTAATGTTATTTTGTCGAAACGTTGTTGGTATCAAATAATTCAACAATAATCATATATTTATTATTTATTTTATCTAGCATAGCCAGTCTAGACAGTTTTTCAACTTTTAATAGTAATCTTTGAGTATCCGTTCTATATATTTCAGGTTTTCCATATTAAATTATTATAAGTGAAGCTCCAATGTAATCCACGGACCACTGGTAAACAAACTCCTCGTTAATCTCAATTGTTTTCCTTGTTAAATATGATTCTTTCTTTATTTTTTGAAATAATAAAAAATTGAAATATTACATAGAATTAACAGTTCGTCAAGATTCTACCAACACAATATTTCACATCAATAAATTTAATTTGTTTAAAATAATGACTATTTGACAAAACATTATACTGACGTTAAATCATCTATTAGGTCCAATTGTTTGATCTATTAAATGTTTTATGATACACTGTAGCCCAACTGGAAAATACATCGATATCTTCCTTTTATCACTAGTAACAGCTGGGTACATGGGATAGGCCTGCACCTTTCTTACAAGACGTTTGCATCAATACGTTTTAAAGGGATTGTAAAGAGGTTTTCTAAATAGTGTATGTGTATCGGGAACACTGATAGCATCAAGTTTGCACCATTCAAATTTTCAATCAGATTTCTGGGGTTCTGTCGTCATTAATCGTGATAAAGAATATTTTTCTATTAGTGACGTCACCAAACACTTAGTTTTAGTGGAATTGCAGGAAGCACAGACGTCTGATCAATAATTGAAATTGATGCTATCAGTGTCCCCTACATACATAATTGTTTTAGAAAACCTTAATTCCCTTTAAGGTCCTATAAAGAATACTACCTCTTAGGATGACCAAAACGTATAATTTCTCAACTAGACCAAAATTAGTCAATATTCTATAGTGGTCTTACCTGGTGTCATAACTATACAAAAGAATATCTATATAATCCATATATTTCCATCCAAATATTTCATTAACCATAAAACTAAAGGTAATTATTGAAAAACGCTTCATAATTTTAAACGTTTTTCAATAATTACTTAGTTAAATAAAAGTTTTTACAAATTGGAAGTCCACTGATGAATATATATACCGGTAATCTTAATGGCCACGTTTAGAAATTTAAATTTAACTATGAGAAATCGGAATATTGGTTGCATAAATATTATACATCAATATATTATACAATATATCAATTATCGATATAGATATTTCCTGTGACAGCTGAAATAGTTAAATTTTAGATATACGATGAATTTTTTCAGAATTAAAATCTCCATTCTGCATTCAACAGAAATGCACCCTGTTCCGCAGAAGTTTTCTACCTTTTCCCCTTTCAAGATCCTTGATCGATTGCATTATAAGTTGATTTTAGGGCTTCTTAAATTTCAGCATCTATAACTAGGAGTTCGCTTTCCCTACTGGGGTATACTTACTTATACTTATGTAGATTTCTGAAACAGGATCCTGCAGGTTCCTCTTCTTCCGACTCGGTATCTATAATTCCGTATAACTGTCATATGCTCCCATTTCAGATTGTATATCATTGTTTTAACCTTGTTTCTGGCTTTATTGTATTTGGTTCTTTGTTCTAAGTATTTCCTAGAGAGTGCATTTTTCTCCTTGATTTTTTCAAGAGTCCTTTTATCCCTTGGGATTTCACTTTTTCTTTTCTTTGCTCTTTTACTAGGAATGTATCTCTTTTCTAGCTACTTGAAAATATCCATAGGATAACGAAAATCTAGCTTATAACAGCTGGAATAAACAATGTAAAGCTTAGACCTATACGTCGTGGAAGGGTAACCGTATGGCGGATTTTATCACGTGACTGCGAAGCGGCGACTTCACAAATTGGCCAGACTCCCCATATAGTCTTTTTTTACATTATTTTATTGTGAAATCTGTATTATATCCTTTACATATTATTATTAGCAGTATATCATCATGTATTTTGTCATCTATTAATTGATTTATTCTTGTACTTTGACAGAAATTTGTATTTGTATATTTCAGTTTATCGCACATATAGTCATACTTAAAGTTGATGTTTGACAGATTGGTACCGGTAGTTTATGTATTTTCCTTGTTATTCATTCTGTCTGTGCAGATCATTGACCTTTAATAAGCTATATAAACTAGAATTTATTGTATTTCTGTGGGCTTTATCATAAGACCCTGAACTTTGGCATTTACGATATGACACAAAGCATCTGTCTCCATTTCACACACTCATTGCTATTTTGAAAATTGTTGGCTGATAACTGTCGGAATATCTATCAGAGGTTAGATGAGGCAGATGTTTCGGATTATCAAGAATTGCCGTATTAACACCCCGTTTGCGATTTGTTTAATTGCCGGAAAACAGGATTTTAATTGATATTAATAAAACAGCTACGTATAGTAGAAATCGAACAATCAGCAGCTGGTATATAATTAGTTATTTAAATCTAAATTCAAATCAATATTCTTTTATCTTTTCTCTGGTAGTTAGATGGATTGTAAAGAGGTTTTCTAAAAAAAAATGTGTATCGTACACACTGATAGCATCGATTTGCAAGTTTAGAAAACCAGAAGAGTCTTGAAAATGTTGAAAATATGTTAATAGTCTATACAGAAATTTTAATTCTGTATTAATTCCTTAAAATATATCTCAAAATATGAATTTCACTCACTATTTCTATATATGTATTTTCTATATATCATCTTAAGTTGACTGAGTCGTCGTTTCAAACGCGGCAAATTTCTACTGTGAGCTGTGAACACTATTACTATTTGGCTTAGCTAAAACAAATCCCGTTTCTGAGAACGTATGATTGGTCAAAAAGATTAGCGAATCTGTCCCTTTAAGGACATTGTAAAGTACTGAAGTCAACATCTTGTTCAGAGGCCGTCCACCTGTTACTAATGATAAAAACGAAATATTGGACTGTCGATATTTTTCATTTTGTATCAGAATTCCGAGACGATATTACACTGCATATATATGTTGTTTAAATTGGTATATTTTATAGTTAGAAACTTGACTTTGTTAATGGAACTGATAGATAATTACTAATTGTGAATAATTTGTGACTTAGCATTGATTTAAAACGAAACAAAGTTATTTGTGTGAATTATAGGAATAAGGCGCCATGTTACTTTTGATTACAAAATGGTTTCATCGAACGATATTGATTACCCTGGGGTTTGTTGGGTTCACAATTTATTCATTTGTTGATTTTGGAGGCTTGAAGATAAAATCAGGGACCGTATTAGATATTGGCCTAGCTGGAATACATTCTCAAGCCAGGACCTCTGTAAATCACTCGTTCCGAGTAACCGACTGGAACTGTTCTGCTTTTATTCATGGAAACAAGAACGAAACTATAAGAGCAGTAAAAGCGAAAGTCCGGTATATGCCATCAATTCAAAATTTGAATTGTTCAGAATTTCGAAAAGTTTACGGATATGATGACTATTCAATAAGTGAAGAAGAACGCAACTTTCCCATCGCTTATAATATTTTACTCCATAAAGATTTCATCCAATCGGAATTTTTACTCAGAGCTATATACAGATCACAGAACTATTATTGTGTCCATGTGGATGGATTTTCCCCTCCCAGCTATCACGAGTCAGTTCAGAAATTAGTCGATTGTTTCGAGAATGTATTTATAGTATCAAAAACTGAAAATGTGACGTATGCGGGCTTCTCTCGTCTTCAGGCTGATCTTAACTGTATGAAGGATCATTTAAACCAGGACAAACCCTGGAAATATCTACTCAACATCCCCGGGCAACAATTCCCACTAAAAACTAACTCAGAAATAGTCGCTATTTTGAAAAATTTGAAGAACTTAAATAATATTGTTGGGGATGGTGACGATATACATCCATATCGCTACCAATTACAATTTATTCTTAAACCAAATCCCGACAAACCGGGTCGTTTCAAAATGGCTTATACTGGCGAGAACAACCCTCCCCCACCCTACAATGTTACTATTTATAAAGGTAGTGCGTATGGTATATTTTCCCGCCAATTTGTGGATTGGATCATAAATAATAAGAAAGCACGTGACCTACTAAAATGGTGCCGTGACGTGTATTCCCCAGACGAATATTACTGGGCAACTTTAAACTATAATTTAAAGTTACATGCTCCAGGAAGTAACTCAAGTACGTATCTACTCGACAATCGTTATCAAATCTAGACATCTTGTGAGTAAATAGATCCCACCGTTGTATAATTGAACCAATCGAAACAAGCACGCTCATATCATTCACGAGTTTTTGTGTCTGTGTTCATGGTAACCAAACAAAATATACGTGGTTTTCCTTTTTCGAAGACGTTATAAGTTATCAGCACTGTTTAAGAAGGATGATATTACATTATTTAACTCGCTACATGGCCTTCTTTAAAGGAATTGTCAAGAGGTTTTCTACATTTTTATGGGCATCGGGGACACTGGTAGCATCCGAGTGGTCATTATGTCCACAACATAAATAGAACACGGTTTGAACAGTACATTATAGTGTGCCCTTTCTCTCTATTTCAGTTGATGACGAGACGAATCCATTCCTTGCTGTGTACGTAGCATGGAAATACTCAGAATGTTACGGTTCGAGAAATAAAGGTTATTGTACATTTAGTATCCGAGATCTACCGACCCTGGTCAAACGACCTGAAATGTTTGCCAACAAATTAAGGATAAATTACGATGCTTTAACATTAAGATGTCTTGGTGAATGGGTATATAATAAAACTTTAGGTCTTGTGCCTTCTGGGGTCTAAAACACTTGCAACATCACCTCTTCAACCAGTTCGCAGCTATGTCATAATACATACTTGTTCATTGGAAAACTTCAGTATTTCTATCAAATGATCTTCGAACCAGCCAGTCTAATTAAACTTAGACCAAACATTCGTATTGTTTTTTATTGGCTTTTATTGTTAATCTAACCACTACAGTTATGGTCTAACGACAGCCCTCTTTATCATTCATTCCAATAGGCCTAACCTTTTGGCCACTGCTTTAACCAATCAAATTTAAACATCCAAGAGAGGCGTGTTCTAATTTCAATTTCAGTGGACTTGATAAACAATTCTAATGCTTCTGGGAAGACACCTTTCCTTCCCGTCACAAAATCCTAACGTTTAAGAGGAAAGAAATTTGATTGGTTAAAGCAGAGGTCATCAAGTTAGGTCAAAAGGTTATTGTATATGAATGTTGAATGTTGAAGAGGGCCGTTGTAATAGCCAAACTGTAGAGGTTACATTAAAAATAAGAGCACAACAAATGCGAGCTTCCCATGTATAATAGCCTCTATCACCAAGTCTGCGACGAAAGATATCTTCGTCGTTTTTGGCACAATCTTCGCCAATGTTCGTTAGTTTTCGTGAGTTAAACATTATAACTCGGGAATGAAATGTGGAAATCTTGCCAAGAAAATTGTCATTTTAACATTCAAACGCGGGTTTGATGGCTCAAATGTCGACGGTGAGCTGTTCTAGCGTCCCAGCTCCCGTATATATTAAGACTTTATAATTAACAACTATTTTATTCAATCTATTTAACTAGTTAGTTAAATACACATACGAGATGTACGATGGAAAATACTGGAACTGTGGAACTCTATTATTCCACTCATATTTATATTCATTTGAGAAAACCAATTAATATTTTTAATGAAACAAGTGTTGAATTATCTTGGTGGTCAATCATATATATAAAATATTGAATGACCACGATCAAAAGGAATTAATTCTATCCAATATGTTACAACCATTAAATTTACTTTTTTAATAGTTTTTTATCAGCATATTGAACTCTTGAACTTGATCTAAATGAGTTCACACATGATAACAATTAATTTGTATTATTTCAATTTGATCATAATTTCACTTGTATCGATTCTCTCAAATGAATATTAGCATAACATTACACTGTGAACCTAATTACTAATTGGCTTAGCTAAAAAAAAGTCAACGTCTTGTAGAAGCGTCCATAGTTCAGAGGCCGTCCACCTGTTACTAATGATAAAAACGATATATTGGACAGTCGATATTTTTCATTTTGTATCAGAATTCCGAGACGATATTACACTGCATATATATGTTGTTTAAATTGGTATATTTAATAGTTAGAAACTTGACTTTGTTAATGGAACTGATAGATAATTACTAATTGTGAATAATTTGTGACTTAGCATTGATTTAAAACCAAACAAAGTTAATTGTGTGAAATGTATTGTCGGGGTCTGGTATTAATATTGTGTTGTCAATGTTTGGAATCTTGGTACACTTTACCGTCTACCACATTAATCATGATCTCATTTTACGGTTAAAGAAAGAAGGAACTTAGAATGAAATTGGAAAGTAACTGGTCTAATTGATTCTTGTGAAGAGACTGAAATATATGGAACGTATACTCTAAATGAACTTTATACAAAATCTGAAATAATTGTCCTAACTTGATGTGCTTAACGGAATAAATCAAGATATAATTATTGTGATGTGTTGTGTTTTGATATACATACAACGTTTCGAAAAGTTACCTTACAACGACGAATTTCAAACTTTATTCAACTTTCCCATGAAATTCCAACATTGGAATAGGACGCCATGTTACTTTTGATTAAAAAATGGTTTCATCGGGCGATATTGATTACCCTGGGGTTTGTTGGGTTCACAATTTATTCATTTGTTGATTTTGGAAGCTTGAAGATAAAATCAAGGACAGTATTAGATATTGGCCTAGCTGGAATACAGTCTCAAGTCAGGAACCCTTTAAATCACTCGTTCCTAGTAACTGACTGGAACTGTTCTGCATTTATTCATGGAAAGAGGTCCGAAACTAAAAGGGCTGTAAAAGCGAAAGTACGGTATATGCCATCAATTCAAAATTTGAATTGTTCAGAATTTCGAAAAGTTTACGGATATGATGACTATTCAATAAGTGAAGAAGAACGCAACTTTCCCATCGCTTATAATATTTTACTCCATAAAGATTTCATCCAAGCGGAATTTTTACTCAGAGCTATATACAGACCACAGAACTATTATTGTGTCCATGTGGATGGATTTTCCCCTCCCAGCTATCACGAGTCAGTTCAGAAATTAGCCGATTGTTTCGAGAATGTATTTATAGTATCAAAAACTGAAAATGTGACGTATGCGGGCTTCTCTCGTCTTCAGGCTGATCTTAACTGTATGAAAGATCATTTAAACCAGGACAAACCCTGGAAATATCTACTCAACATCCCCGGGCAACAATTCCCGCTAAAAACTAACGCAGAAATCGTCGTCATTTTGAAAAATTTGAAGAACTTAAATAATATTGTTGGGATTAGTGGCGATGTACATCCATATCGCTACGAATCAAAATATATTCTTAAACCAAATCCCGACAAACCGGGTCGTTTCGAAATGGCTTCTACTGGCGAGAAACACCTTCCCCCACCCCACAATGTTACGATTTATAAGGGTAGTGCGTATGGTGTATTTTCCCGCCAATTTGTGGATTGGATCATAAATAATAAGAAAGCACGTGACCTACTGAAATGGTGCCGG